TTTCTGTCCCTAGAATTTTCTAGAAACACCCCACCAGGTTATGCCCCCACCCACACTGATCCCAAAAATTATCCTTTAAAAACCCTTTCTCTAATACCCAATGACACTAATGTGACTTGTGGCATTCTTATAGGAGGTGGAACTTGTCAGTGGTACTGCCCAAAACTCCAGCTCCTCTCAAGGTTGGGTCCCAGGTGTGGCAGAGGATGGAAATGGTAATCAGCAAGTACCATGGTATTTGAGTCAGAACTGATGAATGGAACTAGAGAATCTCCCAGCTCTTCTGTCCTTTACTCCTTTGGAGTCTCGAGAAGAAAATGTCTGTTGCAGCATCACTGGTTGCTTCCCATGGAGCAAACAAGTGCGAAGATAGGAGGGGTGCTGCCCAGTTGGCAACTGGCCAATCACTGCCACTCTCCAGCTTCCCAACCACTTGAAAGGCTAAGGGAGAAGAGCTCATCTAGAGCTGAAGGAGGCAGAGACCTGACTTAGAGTTCATCAGTCTTTCTCCCTCCCTCTGACTTCCACTGGAGCTAAGTAAAAGCTGAAATTGTAGCCACCCGCTCTGTGGGTTGCACACTCCCACTCCTGCCACTGACCCCAGGCCTGGGCCTGAGCCCAGAGCGTGTGCCTGGAGCAGGGGTGTGGAAGGGGGGAGGGGGTGTTGGCCTTGCTGACAAAATCCATTTGGAATTTCTCAAGGTTGTGGTTTGGGGCTTAAGTTTGCCACAGAGTATGTGTGAGGAAAGATGAGAGCTAGAAAGAGAGAAGGAGTCAAAAGGACTACAGAGGAAGGAAACCAGAAAAAGCTAAAATATTCTTGCTGTGACTCCACTGGAGATTCTCCTTGCTCTTACTGAGTATGCAAAATTCCCATCTGGATATTCCTTATCATTATTCTCTCTCATAATCTATGTCCATTGAAGCTACATCCCTCTCTCTCCCCCACTATCCTCATATGCTCACCAGATACAGTCAGTGCCTAAGTAAGGATGAGATATCTTCCTGCCTCCATCAAATTTCCAAACCCAGAATTCTCAATGTTCAAGTGGAAATTTAGGACATAAAATTTTGCCATAAAGTACTGCCCTAACCCAACACTCCCCAAAATGTTCTTACTGCCCTAGTGTTACCATCATTTCACCTGATTTTGAGAGTAATTTGGGCAGCAGATATATCTGTTGCCTAGAGCAATAGATTTTCCACCTTTTTCATCTCATTGCACACATAAATGAATTACTAAAATTCTGTGGCACACCAAAAAATATATTATTTGCCCATCTGACAAAAAAAATAGGTATAATTTTGATTCATTCATCCTGGATAGTTATTGTGTTAGCTGTTGTAGTTTTTTTATTTGACAATTTAAGGAAAAAGAGGTCAGTGCCCCTGACTAAATAGTCAAGTATTGCATGTTTAAAAAATTCTTGAGACTCTGGCCAGATAGCTCAGTTGGTTGGAGCATCATCGCATCCCTTACTCCAAAGGCCATGGGTTCAATTCCCATTAAGGGCACATACCTAGGTTGCAGGTTCCATACCCATTTGGGGTGTGTATGGGAGGCAACTGATATCCCCCCCTCCTCTCTCTCTCTCTCTCTCTCTCTCTCTCTAAATAATCAATTTAAAAAATTATTGTGACACACCAGTTGAAAATTACTGGCCTAGAATGTATAATGTACTTCTCTACATTCTACATTCTAGTTGTACATTCCTTGGCCAAGGAGATGACCTGTTAGAATCAGCATCTTGCAACCCCATAAGCAGTCACTTGTAATGTTCTGAATGTGTGGTGCATATCCTTTTTCCAAGTGAAAGATAATGGTTTGTTTTAAAAAATATCAGGCTAGGAATAGAAAGATTGGAATAAAAGACATTATCTTTTCCCTAGTTATGGTTTCTTCTAAAAGATAAAGGAATTATTTCACTAAGATTAAAATTAAATGCAGAAGAGCTCTGAATAAGGAAGGACAAAATACATATGCAAATAATTCAGTGGGAGGGCATGCTGGTTTTGCTGGTTTCCAAAGCAAAAAAAAAATTCCCTTTTGAGCACAGGAATCCCTTTTATATGTTTCCCATTAGTCTTGTATCTACCTCCCAGGTTCTCTGATTTGGAGCCAGAGAGAAAAGCACCTGCTCTTTTGGGTGCAGGTTCAACGATGAGATACCTTCAGGACTTGAAAACCCCAAAACATGCCCTAGCCGGTTTTGCTCAGTGGATAGAGCATCAGCCTGCAGAATAAAGGGTCCCAGGTTCGATTCCAGGCAAGGGCACATGCCTGGGTTACGGGCTTGATCCCCTGTGTGGGGCATGCAAGAGGCAGCCAATCAATCAATGATTCTCATCATTGCTGTTTCCATCTCTCTCTCTCTCCCTTCTTCTCTGAAATCAATAAAAATATATTTATATATATAACAAAGAAAACCCCAACACAGAGGTGACCTCAAAGTGTGGGGCAGTGGTCAACAAACTACAGCCAGAAGACCAAATCTGGTCCTGCAGTCTGTGTGAATTGTGTTGGACATCTTTTTGTTTATGTATGGTCTATGGCTGCTTTTGATCTACAACAACAGAGTTGAGTAATTATTGCAGGTTGAGTAGTTGTGACAAAACCCACAAAACTAATATATTTACATAGTTCTTGTTCTAGGGCAGTGATTGAGGCAATCCCTGGAGTTGAGGCACGTAGAGAGTAAATAAAGCCTATAATTAGGTCCCACATTAAGAGTTGCCAACTAATTCACTGAGGCCCATTTCAAATCCTCTGTGGGACCAGCAGGCTACACATAGATAAAGTCATGGAGTGTAGTAGGGTAGGAGAATTCACCTGGAAAAGAAGCCATGGACTGGGATCCCAAGTGTGGACAGAAATATCACCATCTACATCCACCAGTCCAGTAACTTAATTTATTTTAGTTATAAACAGGAACCAAGAACAAATCTCAGTACAATAAATTATCCATTCCCACCCCTCCTGCTAAAGAAAGAAAGAGAGGCTCAGAAAGTTGTAGGTAAAACTCTTCCTTTGGAGGCTCCCCTTTAACATCTGAATGGGGCGGGTGGAGGGCAGATAGCTTCCCTAAGGGCCTGGACAGATGACTGAGAACTTAGGGGAGAGCATCCCCCCTCAGCACTCTGTTCCATCCCTAAGAAAAACCCCTCTACCACCGTTTCCCATTACCCCACAAGAGGGGGCTCAGGCCGCAGTAGAGGAGTTCATGAACAGCAAAGAGAGTGAGTGGTTTCTTTTTGGATATAGGTCTCATGGCTCTACACAATGCCTGGAGCTAGCCCTCAAAGGAGAAGAGTGGTCAAACTATAGGGACTCCCCAGTTGAAAGGAGTATGAATCCGAGTTAAAGGCCCAGGGTTGGGGAGAGGGGGACAATACAGTGCATTTCATCTTAGCCCATACAGGTGTTTAAGGAGTAAAAGAGGGGTGACATCCCCCCCCCACTCCAAGGCCCCTCAACTGTGGAGGAGAAGGCCACACATGACAGATTCCACCTGACCCGCACCCCACGCCCAAAGGTGTTTCCAGGTAGATACTTTGAACTTCCAGGGGTCAGGATTGACCTTGGACAGAAATTAGAGCAAAAGGCTGAAAAGGCGCCCCTCCCCTTCCCCAGCCTGCTGTGAGGCTGACCCTCACTTACACACGTTGACCCACTCTGTGATCTTGCACTCATCGCACAGCACATAGCAGCACCAGTGGAAACGGCAATGACAGCGCTCAACTCTTGTCTGCCGAAGCACGTTGTGCCCACGGCCACAACACAGGCTGCCACAGCCATCCAGCAGGCGGCTGGTCTTGTTGCAGGCCCGGCCACGCGTGCCTGGGGAGCCCACAGTGGGGTCTCGCTCACAGAAATCAGGAGACTTCTCAAAGTAAACCAGCTCTCCTGAGAGGCGGCGGTGACGCAGGCGGGGCTGGAAGGCTCCCGAGTTGCGGTTGTGGGTATCAATGAAGATGGCCCTGCCCAGTCGCTCCTTTAATGCTGCCCCCACTGCTCGGAATTCTGGGGCTGCCCTCCAGCAGGTCTTGAACTGGCAGCTGCCTGAAGTGCCATGACACTTGCATTTCCGTTTTAGGTTTTCAGTTACCACCTAGAGCATCAGAGGGGGGAGAAGTGAAGGAAAGGGCAGTAAATGGATAAAGCACACAGACACAGAAGAGGGGAGGGAACAGGGAGGCAAAAGGAGAGACAAATAGAGGTAAGAATGACCAAATAATTTGGAATATCAGAAGAAAAAGAAGCTGGTTGGTAGCCCAACTCCCTCATTGTATGGTTGGAGAACTGAAGCCAGAACAGAGGGATTTGCCTATCTCCAGTCACTAGCTGGATAACTCCAGTTGTCCTGGCTCCCACTCCAGTGTCCTTTCCAGAGTGAGCGCTGCTAAAATGGGGAGTCTGGGCCCAGAGCACCCCGAAATTCCATAGGGAGGAAAGCTGTAATAATAGCTATCATGTAACAAGCACCTGTCAAGGATGAGGGACTCTGCTGGGGGCTCTATTTACTAGCTCTCTCTTAATGACATTGTAAGGCAGGTATCCTTAGACTCTTTTTACATATGCAAAACGGAGGTTAAGTCACTTGCTCAGGGCTACCCGGATGGTGGCAATCACCCATCATATCTCATCCTCTCACTCTGCTGTGCCTCTCAAACTGGGGCCAGGCCAGAAAGCGAGAGAGACCCAGGTCAATTTGCACACGTACCTGTCGCCCCACCCTGTTGTTGTGGATTCGCATCCGTGCCTGGATGTCCCGGGGAGCTTCCCTGGAATCCAAGAAATCCCGAGAGAACTTCTCTCCAAAGTCCATGTCGTGGTTACAGCCACCCCATTCCCATGTGTCCTGGGGGCTGGGGCTGGGGCTGGGGCCTGGGCCAGGACCCGGGCTAGGCAGGGAGTGGGGAAAACTTTTGCCCCGGGACAGTGCCTGCAGCTGCAGCAGTTTGGCCCTCAGCCGATCCTGCTCGCCACTCCCCTTCCAGCCACAGCCGCAGCTCACCAGCTTGCCCAGGCTGCAGGCTGTGGCTACCGCGTGCATGACACCAGCAGCCAGCATGGAGAAGGAAAAGGCACTCTCACGGAAACCTGGGGATGAAAGGGTGTGGTGGTGAGGGTAAGGTTGACAGGCAGCTGAGAGCAGGGAGGCAGAGGGAAATAAACAGCCATCCTCCAATTCCAGAAATTCCTAACTGAATCCTGACCCTGCCGTTACTAGCTGAGTAATTTGGGGGAAAGTCCTGGGAGGAAAGGGGGGAACTGAAAGCACAGAGCCTCGGTTTCCTCATCTATAAATTGAGGGGATGATGGGTTGAGATGATCTCTGAGGTCCCACACCTGGGATGGATGTGGATGAAAGAGCTAGCCTAGAGGGAAAGACCCCTGGGGTTGGGAGACGACTAAAAGGGAGTCCCTGTGGTCTTTGAAGATGTGTTCACTGAGTTCTACATCTGAAAGCCTTAGAAATTCCCCAGCCCTGCAGGGAGCTTGGGTGGGGTAGAAGCACAGGCAATAGGGGTTCGTTGTTTTTTCTTCTTCTTCGGGGTTATTTTAATCAGCATTTTAACCAACCTACCCTCCACCACCCCCAAACCTCCAAAGCACTGTAGCTGTGGAGCTGTCCTTCACCTTTCCAGTTTCTAGTTTTATATTTGTCCGTAAGGCTGCTCTTTAAGTTTATCCTAACCTGCTATTACTCTATAAAATGCTGGGAAGGGGAGAGGGGTGGGGGTGATTTTCCCTAAGGCCCTCTTAAAACGTTGGCTCCTTTGTTTTGGGGGTCACAGAGGCTCAGGAGGACAAGCCTTCCCCAGCCTCAGGTACATGTGCTTCTCATTGGGGCATCAAAGCCTTCCCCCTAGAACACGTCCTGTGAAGAAAGAGGGGATCCCTCACTTCCTTTTAGGCAGGGGCTCCCTGGAACCCTGAGAGACAGCAGCTCCTTAGGGGCCAGGCCTTGCCCACCTCAGGATGCAGGGCTCCTGGCTCAACCTCCTGGTCCCCCCCAACCCCAACCCTCCAGGGGTGAAGCTGTTTGCACACGTCTTGGGAATTCCCCCGCAGATGGCAGCTGCCTATTAACCCTGTAGTCCCCGAAGTACTGCCCCCAGCCTTAAGCTGAGCCCAGGGTGGATCTTTACTCTTCCTAGGAGTAAACTCCAGCATGGCCTGGCAAGAGGCATTGATGCCTCCCAGACCAGGCCGGCAGTGACCTGCTCTCCACCCCTCCAGCCAGTGCCTCACCTGCTCAGGTGAGAGCCACCTGGGGCCCCCACAGCACAGAGGAGGGGGGCTGCTCCCCTGCTTCAAAGCCATCAGGGTCTTTGTTCCCAGTCTCAGCTCCTGGGAACCCCAGCAATTAGGAGAGTAGATTTAACCCTTAAACGGTTGGGGGCGGCCCCCCTCCTCCACTGAGGTTCTCGGGACACCAGCCTGGGCTTGTCCCTCTGAGAGGGAGGAGGGTGAAATTGGGGGAGTGAATGGGGGGCATTTGAAGCTTCCAGGGCTGGGGGCATCTCGCTCACAGGTGCAACCCAGAGCCAGCAGGGTGTAAGCAGGAAGGGGGGGTGCTTAGAGTAGGGGAACACGGACCCAGCTGCCTTGCCCGCAGCGAGCAGGTGGAAGCCAGAAGCGCAGGGGCCCAGACGGGTGGCCAAACCCATCTCCTCGAGGCTGTCGGGGGAATTCCCGGAGAGGCCCCTCCCGGAGTCGCGAACCGGTCCCTTCCCGCCTCCTCTCGCCTGGGCCGGCCCCCCAGCCCCGGCCCCGCCGGGCTCACCCCGCTTCAGGATGGCGCTGTGGTGCGGCAG